CATTAAGAGAGAAACTTCAATTTAGCAAACATTAAGCATCTTCGACATGACAGGGACTATGCTAGACCCTGGGAATATAGAAAGACAAGAAAAGAAACAGTATCTATCCATAAGGAGCTTATATTCTACTGGGGAAATACATGTACATAGATAAGTAAATACAAAGTCCATGCAAAGTAAGATAAAATCATTTCAAAAGGAGAAAGCACCAACTAGAGAGAGTCAGGAAAGAGTTCATGCTGAAAGAGGCGGCAGTTGAGGTACTCTTTGATGGAGACCAGGGGTTCTGAGGGGCAGAGGAGAGTAGGGAGTACATTTAAGACGTGAGACATCATTTGTGCAAAGACATGGAGGTAGGAGATGAAACTTTGTGTCCTGGGAAGAGATAGCAAGCCAATTTTTCTTGAATTGTGACTGTGTGAAGGGTAATAATATGCAATTAAATTGGAAAGGTAAGTGGTAGCAGTGAGACTCAGGAGTTGTATTTTATTCTAGTGACAACAGAGGGGCACTGACAAGTTTTGAGTAAGGAAGCAGCAGTCAGAAATGTGTTATAGCAATATTAATTTGGCAGCTTTGCAGAAGATAGATTGGAGAGGGGAGAGACTGAAAACAGCAAGACCAGTTAGGTTATTGCACTAATCTAAGAAATAGCTGATGGATACTTGAACTGGCACAATGGCTCTGTGAGTTATGAGAAAGGGACAAATCTGAGAGATTTTTACAGAGGAAGAATTGACAAAATTTAGTAGGTGCTTTGATATGCAGGGGTGACATAGGGGAAGTAGTCATGGATGTCTTCAAGGTTTCAAACATTCATCACTTAAAGGATCTTGGTGACATCAACAGAAATAGGGAAATTTGGAGAAGGAAGGGATTTGGGGGGACATATAATGAATTCCATTTTGACCATTTTGAGTTTGAGATGCCTATGGGACATCTTGGTGTAGCTGTCTAGAAGGTGATGTGGGATTGGAGTTCAGGAGAAAGATTTGAGATCTATAAATAGATTTAGGAGTTATCTGTGTAGAGATGGTAATTAAACTCATGGAAGTTTATGGGTTCTCCAAGGAAGACAGCTTGTATTCTAGCTCAGCTACTTGGGCAGCCTCTGTGGCCTTGGGCCTGTCATTTTATTCTCTCTAACCATCTGTAAAATTGGGATAATAATTGATGTGAGGTTCAAATGAAATAACAACCTATGAAGTCCTATACAAGGGCAAGGTGGTGTTTCTTATTATCATGTTCTCCTTCTGTTGTGGCTTTCCAGGTTCTGCATGCCTTAAGGTTCAGGAGACCCAAATTAGCTATCACACAACTCTGGGGGAGGGAACAAGTTTGCAGTGTGTAGTCCAGCTGAAAATTCCACATGGTCTCTGAAATACAGGACTTCATATTACTTCTTCTTTTACCCAGGATAGCTTCTGCTATTTATAAATTTTGTTAGCTCCTTGGTTCCCATAACATTTATATCCTCCCTATGAAGCATTAGGCATGTTCAGGATTGATTGAAGCATCCCTTGAAATTGCTTCTGAAAAAATTAGCCTCTTGAGACTACCACCTTGGTGATTTATAGTAAGAAAGGTACCTTGTATATGGTTAATTAAAATTTGCTCATTTATTCTGCTTTGCTTGAATAGGCAACTGATTTGCTGTCTCAAATTGATGTTATTCTATCAGATGAACCCCCACCTCTTCCCCACCCCACCCCAGTGTGATGTGTGCTGCTAGCCTTAGAGGCTTTTTCTTTGAGTCGGGAAAGAAACTATATTACTTTCCCAAAGTAAAAAGACTGGAGGAGGAGGGGCAAGGGTTGCTGACAAAGAATGATAGCCTCCATGCTTGGAATCCTCTCCCTTCTCCTCCACTTCTTAGCTTTTCCTTCAAAATGCAAATCAACTCCTGCCTTCTACAGAAGGCCTTTCCTGGTACTCCCGGCATTTAGTGCCTTTCCTCTGAGACTAGCTACCATGGAGTGTGTGTGTGTGTGTGTGTGTGTGTGTGTGGTGTGTGTGTGTGTGTGTGTGTATCTTTTATGTACCTAGATAGTTTCATGTTGTCTCCCCCATTAAAATGTGAGCTCCTCGAGGGCAGAGATTGACTGACCAGTTGCAGATACCATGATTCATCATGGCTTAAAATGCAGCTCTTCACCTGAAATCAGCTGGTTGAGGGCTCTTGTTCTGAATTTTCTATCCTAATATGTAAGAAATATAGACAGAGGCAGTGGCAGAGCTGGGAACAAAAGATGGGAATTTCAGGTTCTTGTGAAACACGAAGCCCTACTTACTTGTTCAGGATTTGTGTTACTTTATCTCAGGCTGTCTGGTTACGTCAGGTTTGTGAAAAATCCAATTTTTAAAATAGCATTCTGTTCCTTCTTCTCTTTGAGATAATCAAGGATCTGTGATTTTCTCAGTATAGGAATTCCCTGTACTAGGTATAGCATAGTATATTATGAAGTTACCTGAGGCTCAGAAAGATTGGGTGACTTAGCCACGGTCACACTAACCACCAAGTGTCAGAAACTGGATATTGACTTAGGTCTTCTGACTTCGAGTTCAACACTCTATTTACCATATCTTTCCAACTCTCATAAAAGTTATTAGAAGCCTTTGAAGTAGATTGCAAAAAAAAAAATGCAGGTGGTTCCTTTGCTATCTTTGGAATTTAATACTGTTATATCTTGAGTAGAGGATAAAATTAGATCTAATATAATTTCTTCAGCACCATTCAAGTCATCCTACAATGTATTGTTCCTTCTGTCACCATCAATTAAGTTCATACAAATTGAAGGTGGAATGTTTGAGCAATTCAATTAGTCTATCATGCCTTTAGAGTTCAAACAATAGATCAGTGGTTCCCAACCTCAGACAATTTCTCAGACTGCCATTTGAGTAGATGTGCTGTTAATATCTTTCAGTAAATTACAAATTCCACAAGAAACGATGAGCAGGTGAATTTTAGAAAAATCTTGAAAGACTTACATGAACTGATGCTGAGTGAAATGAGCAGAACCAGAACAGTGTACACAGTAATAGCAACATTGTGTGATGACTAACTTTGATAGACTTAGCTCTTCTCAGCAATGCAATGATCTAAGACAATTCCAGGACTCATGATGGAAAATGCTATCCACCTCCAGACAAAGAACTATGGAGTCTGAACACAGATTGAAGCATATTATTTTTGTTGTTTTTTCTTTCTCTTGGTTTTCCCCTTTTGTTCTGATTCTTCTTTCACAAGAGGACTAATGTAGAAATATGTTTAATATGATTGTACACATATAGCCTATATCAGATTACATGCTGTCTTGTGGAGGAGAGAGGGAAGGGAAGGGGCAAATTTTAGAATTCAAAATCTCATAAAAGTGAATGTTGAAAATTAAAAATAAACAAAAATTTTAAAAAGAAGTGGAAGGGACCATGCTGGGGCAATAACAAAATATAATTTGAAATTACAATTAGAAATTGCAGGTACAAAAATTATGGTAAATTCAGTAACTTTTAAATTTGTATTTTATTAAATACAACAGCATCACATACATTTGAAAAATAGTAGTATGTGCACAAGACATCATTCAGTCTAGAGAAGGCATGTTGGATTATTTATTATACTGAGTCACTGGTACATATTTTGTTAGTGTTAAAGATGAAGATGGCAGTGCTTTATACACATACAAAGTTGGGGATCCCACAGACTGAGAACCATTGCAATGGAATGAAAAGCCATGAATGATTCCCAATAATATTGCCTAACTGCAGCACCAGCTAACAGCTGTGAAGTCACACAACTTTTCTTTTATTTATATTTCTCCATATTTACAATAAAGAAGGAGCATCATTGTCTCAAAGCACCAGGAGCCTCAGTATTACACAAAAACAGAGCTACATTAACATGCTAGAGTTACTTCTCAGCAGTGTTAAGGTTACCAAATGATAAGATTCCAACCTATCTTTAGATTATGATTTAATCTAACTAGAAGGAACCTTTCTTTCTACTGAGAGTTAGTGATCCACAGAGAAAAAGAAAGTCTCCATGCAAATAAAACACTTTTCTTTCCTTAGTGAAATTAAACATATCCTATTTGCCTGCTTTTAAAATTAAGAACAGAAAACATAGAACTTTAATCACTAAATATAATATTATGTACAATGGCTTTGGAGTTAAAGGACCTGGGTTCTATTCCTATTAGTCTGTGTGACCTTGGGCAAGTCACAACTTCTCTGCTCACAGTTTATGCATTTGTAAAATGAAAGCTTTGGGCTAGATGTTCTAAGCTCCCTTTCAGCCCTAAATCCATAATTCTGTAAAAAAAAAAAATTTAAATCAATTAAGAAGCATTTCTTAAGCATTATTCTGTTTCTAGGCCCTGTGCTAAGTGTTGGGATACAGATTTGAAAATGATACATTACCTGCCCTCAAGCAGCTTACATTCTACAACCAAAATTCCAGCCCCATTCTACTCAGAACTCCAATCCTTTAGTGTTCCACAAGGAAAGAGACAGAAAAAGAAGGTAGAGCAGAAAGGAATAAAGGAAGTGGAGAAAAGGAAAAAAGAAGATAAAGGGAGGAGGAGGAGACAATAGTGCTTAAATGAGGTAAACTGTTTTTTAGTAACCTGCAGCTACAGATTTTAAGTTAATGCCATTTAACAATGCCCTGTGAAGTACCAGTTAGTTAATTAACCACTCTTCTTTGGGGTCTTTTATGTCTGGAAGGGCACTTATGCCACTGGAACCCAGTAGGGATCTAGTTTCAGAGATGGGATGAAATCAGCCTTCCGGACTGGCCCTTGTCCATTGGTCTGACGTTAATAACAGAGACAAGCAGTGATAGCATAACATTGTGCTTCTGAATGCAAAGTAGTTGTCTTGGGAAGGGTGAATCTCTTCTATTCATGAATTTGACAAAGATGAACTACTTCTGTCTTTAGCAAGCCAGGCAGAAACAGTCCTCTAAATCCTTTCATTTGGGGGTTTCTGTATTTCTTCCACAGAGATTGAGACAGTGAAATTGGCACGTTCTGTCTTCAGCAAACTACACGAGATTTGCTGCAGTTGGGTGAAGGACTTCCCTCTCCGCAGGAGACCCCAATTGTATTATGAGACATCAATCCATGCCATCAAAAACATGCGCAGGAAAATGGAGGACAAACACGTCTGCATTCCTGATTTTAATATGCTCTTCAATCTGGAGGTAAAAAGGGCACATCCCAGGGGCCAGTGGGATAAAGAGAAGAGGATTTGCCTTACTACCTTAAGCTCCTTTATTGAAAATGAGAGTTACCATAGATTCTTAGTAATGGACCTTACCATCAAGTGGTAGAAGTTTGCTTACATTAAAATATGAAGAATCATTTCTCCATGATGTAATCAGATGATTTTGTTATGGGTAAATTCACATATGTGTTATAAAAATCCATTTGGAAATATTATTATCAAAAGGAGAGAATAGGTTTTATTTGAGGAGCAAGCCAAAGGACTAGAGAGGCCTGAAATCTATTTCTGAATGTCTCATTGACTTGCTACCTGATGTTGGTGAAGTTTCCCAGGCCTGTGCTTCAGTTTGCTAAAAATGCCCTTGAAATTCTTTTTGTTTCTCATGTAAAATGTGGTGGGAATAAATGTAAAGATGCCTGTCTGTGGATGATTTTGGCTTAGAGGAAGCTCTTTGGGTAGGTCCTAAGTAGTGGCACCTCTTGTTTGACCTAGATGGACTCCAGGCTAAATAGTAACAAACAGAGCTAATAGGTGATACTTAGCATTTACCTATGCAGCTGAAGTTCATATGGAAGCTTCTCTTAGCTGGGAGCTACCTGGGATTAAAAAACCTGTGAGCAGCATCTAACACTGGGAAGGGCATTCAATAAGCATTTAAGTGCCTACTATGTGCACTCAAATACAAAGACACTTAGGAGTACACAAAGGCAGTGGGGATACAAAAAAGACAAAATGAAAAACAGTTCTCTCCCCTCCCCAACAGAAGTTGCATTCTACTAGGGAGACGAAACCTGTCAGCAGATTATTTACTCACAAATATGACAACATTTGAGGAGGGAGAGAATTCTAGCAACTAGGAGGAATCAGAAAAAGCTTCTCATAGGACATTGCATTTAAAATAAGAAAGGAAGGAAAGAAGGAAGGAGAGGGGGAGAGGAAGGGAGGAGAAAAAGAAGGAGGGAAGGATAGAAGAAAAGAGACAGAGAAGGAAAGAAGGAAGGAAGGAAAAGAGAGGGAAGGAGAGAAAAAAGGAAGGAAAAAAGAGGAAGGAAATAACCATTATTAAGCACCTACTACATGTGAGGCACTGTGCTAAGGGCATTATAAATACTATCTAATTTGAACAGTTGATTTGAAGGAAGCTAAGAATTGTAAATGATGAGCAGGTGGATGCATCCTAAGTGCACAGAACAACCAAATGGTGGTTGTGGGCTTTATCTTTCTTTTTTAAAATTGTGAACTTAACATGAACATATTTAAAAAATACTTTTTATTGATATCTTGTTTTTTGCATTGCCTGCATTTGCTGATGTATCCCACTCCTCTCCCTCTTGATCTCTCTTTCCCTATAACAAAGAATATAAAGGCCGGGGATGGGGACAGCTAAACAAAACCAGCCAACATATCAGAAAAGTTTGACATAGATGCAGTGTTCCACCCCCATGGTCCCCTATTTCTGCAAAGATATAGAGGGGGAGGGGCCCTCTTAGATGCTATCTTTGCAGCCAAGCTTGGTCATTATCTTTTTAAACATTCAGTTTTGATTGTTTTGTTTTTATTCTTTTAATTTACATTTCTGCAGTAACAGAGTACATTGCTTTCCTGGTTCTGCTTACTTGACTTTGCATAAGTTTAATCAATCCATAAGTATATTTTAAGCACCTACTATGTGCCAGCACTGTATTAGGCTCTGGGAACATAAATACAAAGAATGAGAAGATCCCTACTTGCAGTGAGCTTGCATTCTAATGGGAAAGACAACAAGTACATGTAAAATATACATACAACATAAATCTATGGTTACTAAATACACGTACAGAGAAGAGTTAAATGCAAGGCAGTTTGGGAATGGAGAATACTATCAGTTGGTGGGATCGGGAAAAATTTCATGCCAAAGATGGTGTGTGTATAACTTCATATAAATTTTGTGTTTCATATTAATATCAATATTCATAATATTAATATTAATATTCATAATATTAATAATTTCCTTTTTTTTCTCAAAGAATGCACCTGCATTTCATTGAAGTAGGGAGCTCTGGGATAAGGCATTATACCTTTTTACCAAAGCAGATTCATACATACTTTCAACATATCAATTTATAATCTTAAAGAGTTGTAGTACAGCTAGGTGACACAGTGGATAGAGCACTGCCCTGGAGTCAGGAGGACCTGAGTTCAAATCTGGTCTCAAACACTTACTAGCCATGTGGCCCCGGGCAAGTCACTTAACCTTAGTTGTTTCAAAGAAAAATAGTTGCATGGGGCATGGAGTATTAAAGGGCTTGCCTGGAATCACACCAGAGTGTGTGTGTATATGTGTGTATACATAAGTATGTGTATATACACATGTATGTTTATCTATGTATGTACATATGTATGTGTGTGTGTACACACACACATACACACACACATACACACGTATGTCAGAAGCAGGATGTAAAAGCAAGTATTCCTGACTGCAAAACCAGCTCCCTGTCTCCTGTGCCATTCTGTTTCTGCATCATTTCTTGTAGCATAATAATATTCCATTACATCCATGTACCACAATTTGTCTTTGTTAGTCATTCTGTTAGTCATTCCCCAATCACAGGGCTTCTATTTTGTTTCCAATTCTTTGCTGTTAAAAAAAAATGCTGCTATAAAATATTTTGGTGGCTGTGGGACCTGTCATTGACTTACTTGGTATATGCTCACCAGTGGAATCTCTGGGTGAAAGGGTAGGGATCTGTCAGTCATTTTCTTTGTGTAATTCCAGATTGCTTTCCAAAAGGGTCCTATTGATTCAGAGCCAAACCAACAGTGAATCAGTATGCCTGTCTTTTCACAATCCCTCCAACATTGACTATTCTCTTCTTCTGTTGTCTTTGTCAATTTGTTGGGTATGAGCTTAAACCTCAGAGTTGTTTTGATTTGCATTCTCTTATTATTAGTGACTGGGGAGCCCTCTTTCATGTGATTGTTAAGTTTGCCATCCTTTTGTGACCTGTTTGTTCACGTCTTTTGACTAAGTGATTCAGGAATGATTTTTCGTCTCATCTATTAAGCATGAACAATTCAGTATACAAAGAACAGAAGGCTGAAATTGAATATTCACATTGTGAACTTCTTTAAATGTATGTTCAGTTTAGGGACAGAGCCAAGATGGCAGAGTAGAGGCAGAGATTCACCTGAATTCTCCCAAATTCTCCTCCAAACAACTTTAAAATAACACCTCAAATTGAATTCTGGAGAGGCAGAGCTAACAAAATATAGGGATGAAACGATTTTTCAGCCCCAGACAACTTAAGAGGTCAGCAGCAAAGGTCTTCACACTAGGGTGTGGAATGTACAGCACACCTTGAAGGCAGCTGCATCAGCAGCAGCAGCAGCTTTGGGAGTTTTCAGCCCACAGACAGTAAGGGAGTCAGACAACTCATCATAAAGAGATTACAGGGGACCCTTTGCTGGTATTGGGTTCAGGACCCTGTTGCATCGTCTATATGCAGTTCTGATTCACAGTTCCAGGGCCAAGAGGAGTGCTAGTACTTGTGGCTACAGGGAACAAGGTCCTTTTCTGTTTAAAGACCAAAGTAGGGAGACAAGATGGCAGAGTAAAAGCAGTGACTTGCTTGAGCTCTCCCCCAAATCCCTCCAAATACCTGTAAAAAATGGCTCTAAACAAATTCTAAAGCCGCAGAACCCACAAAAAGACAGAGTGAAACAAATTTACATCTGAAGACAACCTGTATGGTTGATCAGAAAGGTATATCACTCTGGGCAGGGAGAGGTGTACAGTTCAGTGGGGGTACACCAGCCACAGCGAACCTCGAGCAGGCTTCAGAGGACTGAATCATGGACAGTTGTGGGGGTTTCCAGACCTCTCAACCCACAAATGCCAAAGACAACTTAGAAGGTCAGTGGGAAAAGTCTGTGACTGCAGAGAGAGAGAACCTCAATTGCAGCCACAGTCCCCAACTACAGCTCCAGAGTGGCAGCTGCTTCCAGAGCTTCTGGCCCACAGACTGAGGGAGAATTGAGTGGCTGATCAGAGGGGGATTGCAGGGATCTCTTTGCTGGTGCAGGATTCTCTTGCTTTGCCTGTGCTTGGATCTGAGTCACAGTTCTGGGTGGTGGTCCTGGGGCAAGGAGGAGCGCTGGAGTGGTGGAGTTTGTAGCAGCTGTAGAGAGAGAATCCTCCTCACAGTTCCAAGACAGAAAAGAATGTTTGTGGTAACTTATAGACCAGAGCACAGGCCAGAAAAGGAGTAAACACCTCACCCTTGATCATAGCACCTTGGAAGAACTGAAAATTTACAGGACCCTAGAAGTATCTCTGAAAACAGCTGCACAAAACCCTGAAGCTTGGGACAGTACATCCTCCACACTGGAAAGCAGACCCCTGCCTTAACAAAGAGTTTATAACTCAAGTAATTAGCTGGGATCATGAGCAAGCAGTGCAAAAAGAGTCAGACTATAGAATCTTACTTTGTAGACGAAGAAGATCAAAACATACAACCAGAAAAAGACAACAAAGTCAAAGCTCCTACATCCAAAGCCTCCAAGAAAAATATGAATTGGTCCCAGGCCATGGAAGAGCTCAAAAAGGATTTTGAGAAGAAAGTAAGAGAAGTAGAGGAAAAACTGAGTGATACAAGAAAATCATGAAAAAACAAGTCAACAGCTTGCTAAAGGAGACCCAAAAAAATACTGAAGAAAATAACACCTTAAAAATAGCCTAACCCAAATGGCAAAAGAGGTCCAAAAAGCCAATGAGGAGAAGAATGCCCTAAAAAGCAAAATTGGCCAAATGGAAAAGGAAGTCCAAAAGCTTACTGAAGAAAATACTTCCTTAAAGATCAGAATGGAGCATTTGGAAGCCAGTGACTTTATGAGAAATCAAGACACTGTAAAACAAATCCAAAAGAATGAAAAAATGAAAAAACAATGTGAAATATCTCATTGGAAAAACAACTGACCTGGAAAATAGATCCAGGA